TTTATCAACATCATCCTTAGATTCGCTACGATTGCTGCCATCGTCAGTCTATTTTAAATAATCATATTGGAAATAATTATTTTAAGATTTCTATAGCGATGTTGTTAAAGATAATTGATTAAATTAATAAATGGTAAGATTGTAATGTAACGATGAAATTTTTAAGTTATCAGAGAGTAATTAAGGTTAACAATCAATATTCAGAATTTAATTTCAAGACTCGAGAAATTATAAATGGAAAATTTCTAATCGACATGTGAGAGAGTAGTTGTAATGCACAAATCGATTAGAGAATCGCACGTATATTTCGCTTCGTCTACGCATTAATAACAAATGCATACCTCTCACTTCGCATTTTCCTTTTCATTTCTTTTTTATTTTCAGTCTTTCCGTCACTGTATATCCCGTTTTGATTTCACATATTTAATCGCAAATCGCGCAAAATACACAGTTTTCCTCTCTCGTGCTGTACTTTCGACTTTACTCTGTTTCGATAACATGGAAAACTTGGAAGACACATTCCGTTCGCTTTCACGTTTCGTACGGGTTTCGATGTTACACTGTATTAATCACCATATATAACAATAGCATTTTACACATACGTTTATGAAAAATTACAACAGATAAATGTAATTACTTAGCTACGTAATTATTTTTTAAAATTTTTCTGCCATGTGATATATGGAAAATATTTTGCTTGAATAATTTGCTTAAATTAGTGACAAATATTTAAACATTTTTTCTTACAATCATCTATTTTGAAAAAAAAATTTATTAATAAATTAATGTCATATTTTCATAATAAAATTTTGTTTATAGATGTAAACTTAGTTTTTTTTTTTATATTAAGAAAAACGTACTTAAAAAAGTTTCTATAATAATTTTCAATTTTGTTGCACTTCTAACAAAATTATGGTTTATAATTGTTTATATATCACATAAGGACTCAATTTTTTTTTACAAAATAGCCGATTCAAAAAAATTAATAAATTCATATTAATAATAGAGATTTCTATAAAGGGGTAGCTAAAGAAAACATTTCTTGGACTCTAGGATGTCAAGTACGTGTATAATAATTTCCGTTAGTATAAATGTCTATCATTTTGATTTTATTGCTGAAACAGATATTATTGAATAATGCTGTTCACTTTTATAAATTTTTATTTTGTGCCAAATATTAGAATATTCACTTTCTTCAAAAACGGAAGAATGATAATAATATGCGGGAATTGATGAATTCCTGCTGCACAACAAGAAACTAGAAACTAGTCGTTAAATACGCACGAGCATTGCATTTTACAACAGTGTGTTTTGATCACATTTTTAGGCACATGAAGTCGATTTGGACGACACACGAAAATCCCCTTATCAGTAATTCGGTTTTTATAAGAAAGATGAGGAAAGGAAAAAATACAAGACAACACGAGTCAGCAGAAACGTAAGATCGCTCGGACATGTAAGATCTTTTCGAAATTTTCGAAGTTAACAAGGAGCACGCGAAAGCTGAGAGGTCCGTAGTCGCGCATATTTTTTTTACAATCCCAATCGATATTTCGCGAAAAAAACCAAGATTATACCATTAAATCTTTTATCGTGCTACATCATATACATAAATTGATGATCGAAAAATGATATCTTGATTTCAGAAATATCGATCAGATGATTGTGAAATATCGGACAATCGAATAAGTTTAGTTCAGAAATAGAGTAATGCGACTGCACAGATATAGATCGTCGATGTAACATCTATATTTAAATTGAGATTATTCAAGACTTCTTCAAGAGTAGGAAAGAGCTTAACTCGAGATTACGAATTCCTAGTACAAAGAGAAGAAATAGATAAATTTCTTCTAACGAGGAGATAAATATGAGAATAGAGCAAGGTGGAAGAAGAGAGAAAGAGTAACATTCAAAGATGTATAGAATAAATAGATCTTCTAAATCTATAGAATAAATACGAGATCTTCAATATTTCTAAAATTGTTCTATAGTATTCTTGATCGGGACAAGACTTGACAATAAAGAGAGTTCTTTATCGATCCTTTGGTCCTTGGTCTTACATCTTCTCGAATTCGTTGGATCTCGAAGGAAGCTCATATGTTAGGCTTAAGAGCGGATTATTTTATCAAAATTCTCGCAAACGTTTCTTGATTTCTGACAATTTCTGAAACGACGCTTTGCATCGCCTCATTGTATCGTATTTATATCGATTATAATCGATCGATATTTTCATTATTAATTATTAGATTAATATACAGAAATCAATACAACAGTTAGTATCGTTAACTATTCACGACAGAATAGAAATTACATCTGTTTTAACGAAAGAAAAAAAGGATATAAATTTTCGTCTTATATAAGACTTTGCATTCATCAAACTATACGTCTTCCTATACGTCTGAGAAAATATTATGTTGTATCCTGTTGTAACCCTTTATTTTGATTTAATTTATAGAAAACAAGTCCCATTATTACACAAGTCATATATAAATATCGAGTAATTTTCATTAAATAAATTGTTAAAAATCACTCGATTGTACTTAATTCTAACATGCTATTTATGAAATCTAAATCTTAAATCTTCCAATGAAATGGATCAGAAAGAGTTTTATGATTATTTGTCCCGACCAAGAAAAAACACTCTTGCTTCAATTGCAGAGTAAATATGGCTTACAATTTATATCGCAAATATATTGCAAATTATCAGTATTATGTCATACGTATAATATGTATATATATGATATATATAATACATACGATGGAGGTATGTATCTTTTTGATTTAAATATATTCTATTTTGAATGTAGTAGTAGAGTAATGTAGAATAGGTTTTGTGTATGCGACCTGTTTAGGCCGTTTTTTAGATTAGACGATTCTAATTCAGATAGAAAGATGCGAGCAAACACTAATGAACTTTCTCACGTACTATAATAATAGAACTTCCGATTTCGTATTTACGTTGTCAAACGTCGAATCGCCAACTTATATCTTTAGGCTATTAGAGGAAATCTTTTTTATGTATTTATTAATTTGCAATCTACATACAGTTTTATGATAGACAAGGATTATTTAACTTGTTTCGAGCGGTGACGATGAATGTACTTTCAGTACGTAAATATTAGAAATCTTGGCATAATCCGTGTGAAGAAGATGGAAAGTTAAATTTTATCTACTGCAGATGTAAATTGTACCACTTATAATTTTATCTATTTTTTACTGCGTAATTATTGCAAGTATTTTTAAGGATTTTGTGATTTAATAATTATTAACCGCGCGCGCTGCATACACAGAGAAATATGTCTGGTTGGATGAATTAGAGTTCTGGTTGAAAATGAACAAATCAGAAATTTCTGGTTCATATATTTTCAACCAAACATTTTTCTCAGTATAGTTTATTAGTACTGCTAATAATTTTATATCAGTCGAAGAGGGAAAAATCAAATTATTCACTCATCAAATATGTGTATGCATACGTATGTACACATACACACTACCAAGATTTCTCTTTATCGTTTGTAAATAATCGCCCGAAGACAAAGAGAAAAAAAAACTGGTCTGACTAGATTTGATTAACAATTCTTAAGCTAGGCTAAAATAGATAGCTAGGATCGATAATTTATGTGTGTCTGGGGTATTTCGTTGCGTCAAGAATTTTGCTCTGTTTAACTGACGCGATTGAGACCACCTTGCATTCCGATTTTACTAGATTTACGACTCTCGTATCACTTATAATTAGTATAAAAATAATTGGGCAATTTAGCAATCTGCAGAAGACTCGAAGATGTCCCAAAAAAGTGTCTTTCTTTTTAATAAATTATTTTTAATAACCATGTTTTCAGATTGGTTTGTAAAAAATAGAGAGTGTAAAAAACTCGAAGAATGAAGATCTCGCAATGTTTATCAGCAGATATTCATATGATTTATGATAGTAGAATAGAATAAATTTCTGGAATAAATTAATTGAAAAGTAACACAATAAATGATAGATGAAAGGATGCTGCAATTTCTCATACTTTTTTGGCACACTTCTATATAAATCTGCAATATTCAACAATGTTCTTATTTTATTTTTTTATCCATTTATATATCGTTAAACGGGAACCAACAAGTACTAGCTTCACACCGCGGTGGCGGATCACTAATGTTTTTTTAACATTTATTTTATTATTTTCTTAAAACGCCTTTCCTTATCTTTTCATTTTATAATATCGTACAGACGGCAAATAATTCGCCGAAATTTTATTCTGAAAAATAAACATTGAACAAGAACCTTTAAAATTCTAGTATTTAGCGGTTGAAATACATATTGTCTTATGTAATGCACATCGCTAATATTTCAGTGCTAGACAAAAACGCATCCTTGGTATAGATTTCTCAAATGTCTGTCTTATTTTAAATTACTTGTCATGATATTACGCAGAGTAAAATCTTCATTACAAGCAATAAGATAAATAAAATAAAATATGATAAAATAAATAATATGAAAAATAAAAAGCATAAAGAGTGCATAAATTAAAAAATTTAAATAAAATATTTTTTTATTTTGGCACTCACTTTGGCTTGGTAAAAACGCAAATACATTAGTTAGTCTAATAAGAACTTAATCACCATACTTACAGAAATTCAGTCCATTTGCTGACTATGCGACTGATTAGCAATAATAGGAGAACAATATTACTATAGTTTTTTGTCGATTACAAATAATAGAAGAAAATAAATAAAAAAGTTTAAATAAAAAAAATATAATATCTCCTACATTTCTTGCAAATATTCTTTTCAAGTTGCATAAACAAAACACATTTCCAAATTATTTTTTATCAGCACGCTTTCAAAAAATAACAATAAAAAAAGTTGATATTTCTAAATCTATTATAGGGACTTAATGTTCAAAAAAAAATATCGTCTAGATATTCATACGAGAAATTTGTCATTTTTCGTGTTCGTCTCTAAATATCACAAACTTCTCTAGTCACCTTACAAATATCTAAACGATAGTCGTCAGTAAAAGTTCGATTTAAATTTGACACTTGGATTTGGCATATATTCTCAGCCCCACCAAACGCGAATTGCAATCGTAATTGATTTCAAATTGAAAAACATTCTCGTTTCATCATCGCGACTTTGCAGACTCTGACGAGTCACTCTCTGCCGTGTTGATGACGTGTTTCATGCTGGCCGACGACAATACCGGGCAGCGATGGTTGTAAATCGACGTGCCGATGATTGATATGCGCTTTAAGATTGCGCTCATACTTGGAGCTAAAAGCGCAATGCGGGCAGCTGAAAGACGGCGCCTTGCCGCACTCGTACAGCAAGTGCCGCTTCAGGATGTACGCGTTTTTGTAGCTCTTACCACACCTCGAGCAGTTGTGTCGGCGATCGTGATGCAGGCCGCTGCCGCTGCTGGGATGATTGTTGTTGCGACTGGTTGCATGTCGCGACGGACAGTGCAGCCGGGGACGACGCTGTGGCGTCAACGGTGCCGGCACGTCACTCGCAGCCGTCGACGACGACGTCGTCGTCGCGGAGTTCGCGCTCCTCGAGACGCGCCGCGAGCCGTCACCGGTCCAACCGAGGCCGGCAAAGAAACCTGTAAAAGACGCAAGCAGACGTGTCGATGGTACGATTAGTATTGCGATCTGTTGGCTGTACATGCCCCCCGTTCAGACGGGGGCCACGCGTGGTTACTGTACTCTTTACAACGGCGCGGGCCATGCCAACAAAAAAAAGACATTCAAGATCTCAAGCTTTAGCAACAACGAGCATGTGGCGTCAGGAGCGGGATCAAGGAGTAGAAACGATTTTCAACGGTGATAATGCTTATCTACGCATCAGGGAACTTTCTCGCAGATCTAATTGAGAAAGTCCCTGGTTGAACGTGTATAAAGTGTAAATCGATATATTGCGAATTTTTATGAAATCTGCCGAAATGTTATGTATCATAAAATAAAATTAGACTAGCGGGTCAATTTTAAGCAGAAAGAAGTTATAAGCACTTATAAGTAAGTTCTTATAAATCATATGAAAACAAATTACAAGTCTTATATGTTTCTGTTTAAAATTAACTTATTGAGTAGTACAATAACTTTACGTCAGAATGAAAGATTTTAGTATCACCAAATATTGAATCATTTTCTTTAACGCTACATAACTCTAAAATATTCATTCTCATTAAAAGATTTAATGTTAAAATTCTGCTACTACTGTCTTATCACACCGAGAAATTCTAGATTGATGATAAATCTTAGAACTTTCTTTGTACTTTTGTCTTGTGCCGGTTTCCTTCAACATCATACTTGCTTTCTGAAAATCATAAATAATTTTCTTTGCTTTAAAATGTAATATTATTTTATTATATTATTTTAGTAAACAATATTAGGAGGGCATTAATATCTATTAATTTTCTTATAGCTCTTTATTTTTAATTACATTTCTTCGAAGTGTTCTATGCTTATACTGCTTATCCTGTTAATTTCACATTTCCGGAATTTTGTGAATCTTCTTAGCCAAGAATTCGCACCCATTTACGTCATCGATTGCACCACCTACAAAAAATTGAACTAGTCAGTATATGGAACGGTAATTAAACGATTCCGAACAAATTCAATGGTTGTCCTTAAAGAAGACTTTGAATTATATCTTCTGTGCCACTTTGAAATATCTTATAAAGGCATTTTTGTTTTATATTTTTATTTTAAAGTAGAATATAGAGATTTTGAAAAGGTCCGTTATATACGTTTATACTCTGTAATGTATTTATCAATTAACAGATAAGAAAATTTATGTTCAGAATTAGAGATTTTTTAATTATGAATTGAATGACAAATTTCTTTTTTTTCTTTTAAAGTAGATATGCTAAATCACAGACTTAATCCATGAAATTTTTAATTACTTATAAGACTGTTTCTTTATAAAATTTCTGCTTGTACACGAAATCATTAGGAATCATTCAAAATTTTTGAAAATTTCTTGATATGAGAATACGGGGAATGTAGAAAACGTGGTTGGGATATTGCCTTTCTAGACTTTATTTTGCTCTAAATTGAATACAAGGCGCTCTACAAATTGACAAAAAAAAAGAAGGAAACAGGTTTTGGAATGTTCAAAAGGTCCAAAAGATGATATGTGTATACAAAAAAAAAAAATAGAAAGGAAGCACTGTTATAGAAATTGAAACAGGATTTGAACGTTCGGTCTGTCGCGATAAACGCGGGATCTCGCAACTTCCTCTTAACAATACGGATTTCTCCCGATTTCTTTACAATTCATGCGAACGAGAGGTGAGTGAATTCCAACGCGAATTCGAGACTGACCCAACGTTCCCTGCGAGTTCCTTAAGCAAGCGACTCTTCTTACGTGATACAAACGAACGCCAATAAACGGCGACGCGACGATGAAGTTTCGCACTCCGCTAAATCACGTTATCTTACCAGTAAATGGAGTGATCTTCGTATATGTGTTTTATAGGTGTTCACATATCGGTTGTATATATGTGCACGTGATGTACGTGCGTATGTGTATGTGCCTCTGTGTGTCGCTGTGAATTCGTCGCAAGATAACAAGCAAAAAAGTATCTAGAAAGATTATCATTATCATAGCGTAGTCGTTAATAATTGTTGCTCTCTAAATAATATTAATATAAAATGAAGGCAAAAGGAAAAATAATAATTAATAAATCATTCGTTCGTTGGCAAATACATGGCGACAAAGAAGTTACGATTACAAGTAGTATGTTTTGCGTTTGAGGCGCTGAGCGGAAGTTGTAATTGTGTTTACTTTTATGTGTTCTTTCACTCTCTTTCTCACTCGCTCACACTCTTGCTCATTCGCTCTATCTTTCTCTCACTCTCTTCCTCTCTTTTTTCGCTCTTTCATTCTATCTATTTCTGTACAGTCGAGTACTGTGCTTGTACTAAAGAGTATCGTACTTTAATTTGAGTGCGAAACGTCCGTCCATGGTCCTCTTAAAAAATAAAGATATTTATGATACTATCTGTGAATGATCTGGTATGTTGCACATGAAATAAGTCGATATATTGCGGGTATCGATCGAGACGATTGTCTTCGATCAAATCAAAGCGGAAATGAGACAGTTTCGGACGCAGATCGAGGCAGACGTTCCGTACTCGGTGCTCAAATCACGCGCTCGTGACGCGATTTAGACCTCACTATATTTACTACAGATAATTGTACTGTCAATTAAAGATGAACGAAAAAAAAGTCGAAGTGTAAAGGAACTCGAGAAAAGTGTACATACTCGTGTCTAGTGAAAAATAACATTACAAGAATAATAAAGGTGCATAAAAAACATGACCTATGTAAGAATAAATACAGAACTGATTAAATTCCTAAGTAAATTAAAACGCAAAGAATCACACACATATATTGCGGTTGTCGCGAAAGTCGGAGAAAAAAGTAACACGCGGAGAGCATGATTAATCATATAAAAATGGAACAAAGGTTGAGTACATCCTAGCGGATTATTGGCAGTATAAAGGCGAGTGATTGAGATTTAAATTCCGCTCCTTCAGCATAATAAATAAATAATTTCTAAAAAGATATCACTGGTCTCGAGATGTATGTGGAACATCGCCGGAGATTTCGGCTAATGAAGCTACTTGTCGCAAAAAAATTTTCAGCTCTTATATTTTTTCTTTTAAAAAATATCATTCTTTGAATGAATTTTTAAATCTCCGCTATTATAAGAAAATTGAATGATAGAAAATAGGCTCAGTAATTACGTGAATTTAAGAAAAATATCATCTTCAACCATTTTTTATTAATAATATGAATGCTCGTGATAATGACTGATATAACTAAAAAAGGAATGGAAATCTTATACCGCTTTTTTTTATAAGATATACATCAAGTAGCTTTATCATGTGCCGGAATCTTGCACAAAAATTGACGACACCCGGCCGAATAATACCGTAAAAATCCGTTCACAGCTGGATGCGCCCAGCGCCTCTTTTATTTCGTTTTTTCTATAGCCTAAAATCTAAGTCGTACTTTTGAAGGCACTTAACACAAGGCTCTCTCGGTTCAAAATCTACTTGTCTCGACTCTCTCCCTCGTACGCGCTATTTGCTCTTGCTTCGCCATTTCCTATTAGTTATTCGCTTATTTTCCCGCGATCATTCCTTTCTCTTCTCTCATGTTCTCGCGAAATGTCAAAAAATCATTTAAAGGAGGTTCTGCAACGAGTGGTCGAACTATAATTACAATCATTTCTCATTCGTTCACTTTCCATCACTGTTACACCCCTGCATGTTTCCCTCATTCATACGACATTCTTTTTTCTTACATAGATGCAACATATACCTTCCGGCTGATTAACGATCTAATTGCAGCGCATTATTCTCTTCTTAATACAATAATACATACGTTCGTTACAGCGAATTGGTTGCCCTGCGAAAACGAGTTATTAATAATGATCGAAAAAGATCATTTAAAAAATCATTGAAGTATTATGCAATTTTATATTCGTGATTTTCTCACCAAGATCGGATAAATTTTTTTTTAATTGCATTTTTAACACACTTTTAGTTAATCTAAAGACAATATGGACGTGCATATTTCTACAATGTAATAATATGCTTAAATTGTTTACCATCCATTTTGCCATGCCAACAATTGATTTATTAATTTCGACTAGATTGAATAAAATCGCAGTAGCGACTTGCACACGGGATTCTTGTTTTTATCCGATCTTCGAATTCACGATTCAATCGTTCTTCTACGTGCGGGGATATTCTACCAGCGGCTAATAATACAAATATTATTAATAAAAGATTGCAAAAAAATGTATAAAAATGAAAGCTCTTTTTTTGTCAATGAAAGAGACCTGCAAAGTTATCGCCCCATGTTTTTTTCTGTAAACGGCGAATTATTACAGGCTCACTTTCCAGCATTGCGCGTCTACGCGAGTTTTAAACATGCTTGTTCATAATTTTCTTAAATAAATTTCTTTTGATGCCTAACATAACGCCTTAATATCTAAATATCTAAATGCCGAACCCAATCGCCGAAGAACGTCAATTCTCAATCGCAGGACCACGAAATTCGCTTTTCTAATTTTTCGATTATTTCGTACCATTCGAGCCACATAATTCCTGATTGATGCAAATCCAACGACAACAATTTTTATATATTATAATATGATAGAAAAAATCCATATAACCTGTTTAAACAATTATGTTATTTGCTGACGGTATAAAATCCATACTGTTACATTAAGGTTTTATTTGAAAGCTTTATTTGTTAGAAATAAAATGGATCTTTTTCCATCACTTAGGAACTAATTGGCTCGCTTTACATTCTTTCTCAGCCATCGCAAAAGCTCTTAGTAAATACATCTGCATTTTCCGATATATATAATATATATCTATCATGTATAGATTTTTAGAATAGAATCTTATCGTGTTTGCTATTTCTTTTTTTTTTTTATTTCTTTTCTTACCTCTTATATCTCTTTCTTTATCTCTCATTTATTTAGTGTCATTCATTCTCGCCCTCAAACTAAACGTAATAACAGATTTCCTAAAAAATGGTACGATTAAAAATATAATAAAGCTGTCTTTAAAATAATTAAAATCCGTCGTACACGTTTATTTAATTTCAGAACGACAAACAAATAGGTTTATAGATTAGCTGCCTCATTCTCGCGATCTTCGAATACTGTTCTTTTATAATATCAAATAAATTCGATTATGAACAAAAAATTTTAAATTCACTAATAAATTTTTCATTAAAACTTTTGATGTTAGTATAACATCCAATTTCTAAAACTGGATATGAAAATATATAAAGGTCCTAGACATACTGGACCTATGATAGGTCCAGCTGGACATATGACAAGAGAATTTTATCAAGCGGTTTGCCGTTCTAAAGATTAAAATTTTCATTAGATGCTTCCGTCAATATGTTCAATCGCCCATTTCGCAACATAAATCATCTGTCCGCGTATTTTGAGAAACGTGAATGCGTGACGCTTATAAATTTTCTTTTTCCTGCTCGCGAATAGAATAATATACTTCTCTATCTCTTTCTTTGTCAAAAAAATAAAGCTGTACTTTCTAAATACCTGGATGGCATGCGTGTAACACACTTTTCGCGTCCTGTATTATTTTATCACGTATATTCTCAATCTCTTCTTTCATCCTTCGCTTTATCCTCTTCCCACCCTCACTCTTTAGCCCAAAGGAAATTTTTGTTCTCCCTCAAAAAGTGCAAAACACAAAAAAGGGCGGTCGATCGTCTGCTACAAGCATTATCAACCGGAAATTCTTACGTTCTAGAGATATACTATATAACTTTCGATAAATGTAAATTGTTAAATAAATTTTTAACGATAAACGCGCCGCGTTTAATACCAGAAAAAATAAATCTTTTGTTATCTATCTATACGCCGAATCATATTTTTATCCTAAAATCGCAAGTTTCTGTGCCGTTCAGACGACCGACCTGGAAAGAAATTTAGCATCTAAATATCACACGTAGCGCATCTCTAATAATTGTCACAAATAGCATTCAATTTTCTGCAGTTGAATAGCATAAAATGATATTTAACCATAGTTCGTGATGCGATCGATTAATTCAAATTGAAAATAAAATCCAGCCATTACTGGGAATTTGAAACAATCAATGCCATTCTGTTGCTTGAAATCGAGCGACAACCGTCTAATGTAATAGAATATAATATCTATTCCAAAGCAGAGAATAAAAAAAATGTTTCAAGCTATAAACATATGTATATTGTCGAATAATCATGTATATTAAGAATCTAGTCACTGCAAATACTCTTGACGCAACATACGGTTATTATTATCGCCCTATATGTTTATATTATATATTTACGTTAAAATAACAATCGCCAAAATATTTTTAATTAACGAAGCGCTTTGAATTAAGATATCTAATACATAAAATAATTTTAAAAATATGAAAATATTTAAAATTTATATTGTTAAATACAAATTAATTA